ATCCATGTGGTCCCTCCTCTACCCACTCCCTGCAAACATCATTTCATTTCATTTCATTTCATTTCAGCACTCAAAACTGAACACCTAAGTTTAGGCGAGGGCTGGTTAAAATGGAACAAATTTCTGAAATCCCATGATTGTTCATAACCGAAGTTATGAAGTTACCTCCATAATGCACGCAAGTTGCTCCACTTCATTTTCCCCTGGAAAAAGTGGATACCCCGTGTAGAGTTCAGCCATGATGCAGCCCAGGCTCCACATGTCAATCGAGGTTGTGTAAGGATGGCCCAGAATGACTTCTGGAGAACGATAAAATCGACTTTGGACATAAGTGTACACTAGAGGAAACGAGAAAGGGACAGTGGACATCAAAGGAAAACGCGTGAGAGGCGGTCGCCACCAAAAACGGATTTTTCCCAGGGACAAGAGGTCCGACGTTTCTCTGATCTTCTCAGCCACCCACATTCTTTACTCAGTAAGCCCCCCTCCATTTGTGCCGATGGATCTAATGTAGTTCTGCTTTTTATTTTGAAGCAGTCATTTACATGGCTTGTTCCCGCAGTACAAACACCGCCCCATCCCACCCCCCCAGCTGAGTCTGTGCCTCTGTCTTGACTGGTTCCAAGCCCTCCTTGCTTGCTTTGGGGGGCTTTCTCTTGCCCTTGTGAGAAACAGCATATCCTCGGTATGAGTCCTGATGATGCAAGCCACGGCCTATGAACCGCTACCTTTCTAGATGAGAGGAAAGTTCCTGAAGAGAGTTTTCACATCCCCACCACCGTCACCACCAAGTGGATTTCAGAAGCCCTCTCCTGCAGAAACGGCCTAACAAGAAGAACCTCCTCCTTGAATGAGGATCCTTGTCTAAGCTCCGTCCCGAGACACATCTGTCTTCCCCAAACACTCGTCTAGAGCAGAGACTACTCAGAAGCTTATCGCAGGAGCCCTGGATTTAGGATCCACAAATGCTCAGCCCCAGAGTACCCATCTGAATGTATTAAATAGCGGAGCTTTGTTGAGAACTGCCATCTAGATAGGTGATTCTGAGACCATGGAAGGAAACAGGCCAGTCGCTTATTTTTCCTCTCTGATGCATTAATGAGGAAAGTAGCTACTCAGGCACTGACTCACTTACATGAGCTTCAGGGCACTGACCAAGAGAAGGAAATGCTGTAGCTATCTATACATTTTGTGAGACAGCACCTTATTAATACCTATACCATAATAAAATTCAATTAAAAGTTTAAAAAATGAATAAAGAAAATTATATCTACTTGACTTTTCTGCAGACCTCTTTGGTGTTCATAGCAGCTTGATCCAAAATCAATAACTTTAAATGAAATTTGTCCAAGTTGAGATTGGCTTATTAGTATGTTCTCCTAAAGAATTAAAAAAAATAAGACTGGGGGAGAAAATATCAGTACATTTCATCTATCAGGTTAGCAAGCTAACGGCATCTTCATTTTTTCCTGTTCAGATCACCAAGCCATAACCGGGAACAGGATCTGAACGACAGCCAGGGAAACAGAACTTAGTGCTTCCCGGCCCATGGTTACGTCCCTGGCGCTGCAGCCCCAAAGCCAGCCGTTCCCCCCTTGTGGTCTCCAAAGTGAAGAAATTTGAAATTGAAATGCCCCAAGCACAAAGCACCGCTTTTCCAAGCTCAGATCACCCCTGTCTTAATGCAAAATGCTCCATTGCAGGTTTGAATCAGCTGACCCAACACAGCCTGATTCCTCTGGAAGGCTCCTCTGCTTGAGACAGCCCTACGTGCCTCCAGAAGACGTCAGAACAGCCTATTTCCAATGCAGAACGATCGTTTTGCGCTTGAAATATTTTGACCTATTTATATCCCTCTCTCCCCTCTCCTTGCTTAGAGGCTTTACTTAACGACGGGGTTCACAAATTGTGCTAAGCCATTAACTATGGCTTCTTGAGCAAATCTTAGCAGTCTTGTTCATTCAGCAGCGTAAGGCAAACTGTTTAAAAGCAGAACTCACACTTTGCAAACCATTTGGTACAAACCATGTGCACCGAGCACAAACTGTCTACTGTATATCCTGGCTTGCTTTGTCTTCTGCCTGTTGGATCATCATCATCACCATCATCATCACCAGCAGATATTACCTCCAGGATATTGAATGGGGTACATCTGAAAGCTGAAATCTGGGCTGTCCCAAGTGCTACTTTCTTCCACACGGAAGCCCCTTTCAGAACCTGGCTGGCCGACACCGAGGCCCTGCTTCGGATTTCGCTCCTGCTGGGTTTTCAGCGCGCCATACAAAAAGCAGCCCCTCGGGGCCCTTGGGCCAGCCTCCTCTAAGGGAATCGCTCTTGAATTACGCTTTTTCTCTTTAAAACCTCGTCAAAGCTTTCTGGTTATTTTGGGGGGCTACTAAGGGAAGCTGGAAGTTAATTAATTAGTTAACTTCATTACAGCCCCGACTAGCGTTTTGTACAATTATTATAAGATGTAAAAGATTAAAAAGCATAGACGTATTCTAACATCAATGGAAAAGAGTAAGATAATTCACTGTAACACTACAAATGCAGGTAATAAGAAATCTAAACATTAAAACTAATTAATGGGATTATAAAACTACTTTGTGAATAAAAGATTAAAATGCTTATGTACTAAACACTAAGTTGCTGAGCAGGGGTGTGTATGTCTAGATACAAGCACACACATATTTTATTAGGGTCCGTGACTGATAAGCTACAACAGAGAACACTAAGACATCGGGCAATGTAAAGGATATTTTAAAAAGAAAAAAAAATGAATTGTATATTTGTTAAGGAAGTTTATTCCCTGTGTAAAGCAATGGAGACTGAAAGAAATGTTATAGCTCTCCTAGAGATACTAAGGTTCTTGTCCAACAGTAGGAAGGAAATGAAATTGTCCTCAGAGCTAGTAGAATTACTATTAGTAAGCGAAGTAGAGTGCAGATTGCTACAGAAAGGACATCTAAGAAATAGATAGGCTAGAGCAACTTTGCCTAAATAATTCGGAGATTCGCTGTCATTTTAGCCAAGAACAATCCCACTTGAAGATCATCATCACAGTCAGTTCTTCATGACTTGCCAAAACAGATGTAAAGGAAATACCCTGCCTCAGAATTTCAGTGGCATTCATCAAGTTCCAAGCCCAATTATTCTTGTAGAGGTTTCTCTTTCAAAGGGACCTGTTGCACATATCCAAGTTCTACTGTATATAATATTGCTGAGATTCCCTGGTTTTTAAATGGAAGTGGATGAATATCATGCCTCAACTCTCGTTAATGGTTTTAATCCAGAAGCAGAGGTATTCGGGGTGTCTGATGCCTGGAAGCAGCACTGTGTCCTCACAATACAAGCTCTGTCCTTTTTTACTTGTATACAACATCATGACATGGACAAAAGAGGCAGAGCTTGCATCACAATGATGCAACACTGCTTTCACCATTTGACACCCACACACAACTGGCACCTCTGTTTACAAGAACTAGACACTTTTTACAAGAATGATGAGACACAACTCGTTTAAAACCAAGTTGGAACTTCAGGTCTTTAATTCTATAAAGTCCTGTGTCTGGTGTACCGTTCTGAACCAGATGTATCCTCAGGTCTAAAAGGATGGCTGAGGAATGGAGAAAGAAGAGGAAGATGAAGAGCCTTTAGTTAGTTTGAAGTATTAATTTACCTAATCAGTAGCAATCTCTGAATTGGATCTTATGGGGGGAGGAAACAAAAATCCTGAAGTAAGACAGACATTGTGTGCTCTGGAGAAAGATGGAACATTTATTTGGCAAAATACTGTGCCATGTTTTATATGGTAAAGAAGAACTTAAAAAGAACAAAAGTGGCGTTAGCTGGGGAGTGAGGGCGTTTGTTAGGAAGAGCAAACTGTGTGAGGGGGATGTACTGTATATGTGGTTACTGTTAATCAGTTAAGTTACTATTTAACTGAAAATCTCAGGCCACTTTATAAAGAAGCAGCAGAACTTGGAAAGATAGAATTAAAGTATTTTAGAAGAATTAAATCAAGGACATTCTGCACCCAAATCGAGGCAGCAGCTCTTCTGGTCATCGTGTGAACACTGGTGAGTGTTACCCAGAGTCAGGCTGGGGAGGCAAGGGAGAAGCCAAGAGGCACCAGTGCATCGGCCCACTTCGTGCAAGGGGCCTCCGAGCCTGGGCATCAGATAAGGAGGCTTGGCTTGAGGTCCTGGCATATGAAGTCCATCTCTTTTTTCCCAGGGATAAAACTGGGATCCAGACAATACATTTCAGCCTCGCTAAAACCTTTAATCCACAGAAATGGTTCAAGCCTACACAGTGCTTGGTATCCATCACAGACTGGATGAAGCAAAACCATTTGCCCTGAGTTTGAACGAGAAAACTGGGTGGTTGCCTTCTGATAGGTAGAATAGACTGTTGAGCTGGATGTGATATTGTCCATAACAAGAGGGAAAAATATGGGCTAGATGATGCTACAGCTAGACAGACTCACAGCTGGCAGAAGGAACGTATCAAAGGATAGCTGGTGGGAGTTTGGCAGGAGGGCGTAAGCCTATGTCCTGGCCCCGGGTGCGCACTTTCTTATCAATGTCCTGGAGGGGGGATCTGAGGGAACACTTACCAAGTTTGCAGAGGACATAAAACTGCTATGGTGGCCTTTAGAAGAAAGAGAGAAGATCCCAAAAGTTTTAGACAGGCTTGAGCAGAGAGCCGAGATGAAGGGGATGGAATTGAATAGGGAGAAATGTTGAGTTCTGCATCTGGGAAGGAAAAATGAAGCATGGGTGTAAGATGGGGGAGCCAACGTCAAAGGGATGTGGGCGTCCTTGCTGACCCACAAGTGTGACGTGAGCCAGCAGGGCCATCCAGCTGCTCAAAGGGGAATGCTATCGGGTGGATTAACTGGGGCAGAGTCCATATCACAGGAGGTGATAGTTCTGCTCCGCTCTGCCTGGTCAGGCCCCTTCTGGAGTCCAGTGCTGGACACACAACTCAGAAAGAACAGTGACCAACTGGAACAAGCCCGGAGGAGAGATGCAAGATACAGTGGTGAGGAACGGCTGGAGGCCATGTTTAGCCCACAGAGAGAGGGCAGCGTTTCCAGGAGGGCTGCTGCACAGAAGAGGGATTGGACTTGTCCTCGGTTGCCCCAGTGGGCAAGACCAGCACTGGGGGCTAAACTGCCAGGAGATTCAGGCTAGACCCCAGGAGAAGCATCCTGGCTGTGTGAGCTGTCACCGGTGGGACAGCCTGCCCTGAGATGGATGCAGTGTGTTTTCCTTTGCCAGAAGTCTTCAAAGGCGTGGGGGGGTGGGGGTCGGGTCTCGCGACGAG